TACCATCACCTAAAATAATTCAGTACGCACATTTTAAAATTTTAAGGGATACATGAGTGTCTTATAGTCTTTTAGTATCAGGTACTTTGCTTTTTTGTAAGAAGTTTTCTTCTAATGAGTGTTCTCATTTATGGAGTAGATTTCGGCTTTGTTAATGTTCCTCTAATTGTGTAAATTTGTCATCAGACTTGGTTTCAGGACCTGTTACAGTCAGTATAGTGTGTTATTTATCCGTTGAGAGCATTCATTTGTTACTTGGCAACGACCTAACTGAATACAAGGTTGTGTTTAATCCACTTGTAACTGACAAGCCTTCTTCGGATCAGAAGTTGATCCTATTGAAAAAGAATTCCCTGATGTATACTCAGCTTGTGCAGTTACAGAAGTTATGGCAAAGAAATTTCTTGAGAGTGGTTTTGATAAGGAAAATATTTCATTAGCCTACACATATATTGGTCAGGCTTTAGATGAATTCACTTTCACTCCTTTTTTGGATCAGTCGAAAGGTATTGATCACAGTAATCCTCTTTTAAATTCTCATTCTCTTTTATATAATTAGGGTGACAAACGACAGTAACTTGTCGTCGAACAGGAAAAAGATCCCGAGATTTCCTGTTTTATTTCAGAGGGCCATTAGTGAAACTGAAGCCACTGAGGTACCTGTGTGTTATTTCATTAAAAATGGAATTCCTATGTGAAAATTAGGACCTCCGTAGGTACCTCTGGTGACGAATGGTCAGTGAACTATCAAATTATAGTTCCATAATCTTACAGACAGGACATACTTAGTCTGGCGCATGAATTTGATGTGGCTGGTCATTTTGGGATAAATAAAACTTATAAAAAGAGCTTGACTCACTTTTATTGGCCAAAAATCAAAAGTGATATCTGTAAATATTGTAGTTCTTGTCATATTTGTCAAATGGTGGTAAACCCAATCAGAAGATACTTAAGGCTCATCTGCAACCTATTCCTGCATTTGTAGAACCTTTTAACAGAATAATTGTAGATTGTGTTGGTCCCTTAACTATGACCAAGTCATATAACCAATACTTGTTGACCATAATGTGTGCGACAGCAAGGTTCCCAGAGGCAATTCATTTAAGGAATATTAAAGCTAAAAGTATAGTAAAAACATTGATAGTTTTTTGTTTTACTAAATGTAGTCTTCCCAAATCTGTCAAATCGGATAAGGGTCAAATTTTATGTCTGGAATTATTTTTAGCAAGTTATGTATGAATTAGGCATTCAACAATTCAAATCTTCTTCCTATCACCCTGAGAGCCAAGGAACTTTAGAAAGATTTCATCAGCCTTTGAATAATATGGTTCGATTAATTGAAACGAAAGCATTCATTTACTTTTGTTTGCTGTTAGTGAGTCAGTTCAAGAATCTTTAGGATTCAGTCCCTTTGAACTAGATTTTGGACACAATGTGCGTGGACCATTTAGGTGTCTTAAAAAGAAACTTCTTACTAATGAAGATACTGAACTTGATCTTCTCGATTATGTTTCCAATTTTAAGCATAAGTTGTCAAAGGCTTGTTAGGTCGTAAGAAGCTAATCTGCTCTCTACTCAGTCAAAAGTGAAATTAAGGTATGATAAAAGCTCGAAGGAATGGAGTATTCAGCCTGATGATAGAGGTCTGGCTCTCTTGGCCATTCCTCATAATCAGGTCAAGTATTATGGTCTGTACACGGTTGAAAAGAAAGTAAATTATCTAAATTACATCATAAATAACAATGAAACTTCAGGTTTATCTTTCAGCAGCCGTGACAAGCTAAAACTTTTACTTATCTAATGTGACAACAGCTTGTGTTTCAATTATCTTGAGAAATGAAGCCAGGAATTGTCAGCAAGATTTAATAGCTTTCAGCATTCAATCAGTCAAGAAAAATATACTAAACTTACCATCAATCTTGATCGATCAAAAGTATATATTATTGATAAAAAAAATACTCTCTTACTAAACCACAAATGAACAAATGAAATATTTATTTGAGTCTCGTCGTTGTGTGAGCGGTAAAATAAAGTTTAATTTTTATCATCGTGATGATAAGATATTTTGATATCAACTGTTGAAGTACTGATAATCGGTGATGAGGTATGAAATTTTGTCTAAACTTTAGAAATAAGCTCAATGTACAAAGTACTTCGAAATAAAATTTTATCTAAACTTTAGAAATAAAATCGGTTTTGCCGCCAACCTGATGAATGTGGTTAGGGTGGTCTGAAAAATGTGTTTTTTTATATTTGTTAGGAGAGGATGGTGGTCCTTCTGGACAGGGGAGATAGGGTCCCTGGTCCAGAAACCTCTTGGGGTTGGAAATTATAGTTGTTTGGAGAGGGATGGGTGGGGGTATCTGGGACAGGGAATACCTTCTACTTCGGATTATAGACGAACTCGGACTCTTACGATTCATGGATCAAACGGTTCCAGCTTAGTCAAAGAAGTTTCATACCAAATACAAATTTAAGTAAAGGGAAATTAATTGATGAAATTGACAGTCAGAATCATGTCGGACAGTAGTATCATTTAGTAAAGTTAGATACCGGGGACGGACTCCGTCAAAGCGGACGAAACGTTTGCATCGCCTGTCAGGTAGAACGAATATTTTGGTTATATTACGGCATTTGGTACTAAGGCCAGACCTCAGCATAAGCGGATTGTGATATAACCACGCCGTATTAGGTAGGTTTGTCCATAGGCGCAGAGTATTTATGTAACAATATATTCTAATTTTTTATTCAAGTTTGCTGCTCCCGGTCATGGTGCCTTTGAATTTCTCCACTCCACCTCCAAACCCAAGACTGTATATATAGTTTTTAACAGCCAAAAATATATCTTATAATCCTACTTTTCAAAATGAACTTACTTAACAAATCTAAGAAATGCCACTTTGTAAACAAATTCCCGCGGGGTGTAACAAACAAAGTTTACCAAGTTAATTAGCTTGGATGTCATGAACAATATGTTTAATTTATTACATTAAAAAATATTCTCCCCATCCATCATATTAAAACTTTGGAACCACCATATCTATTGCAATACGAATACAAAGAGGAAAAGAGTAAATAATGGTGAAAACCACACATGTATTCACACAATGAAATACGCCTTCGTCTCCCCAATACAAAGAAGGGAAAGATATAGGTCACTATATCACTTAATTATACAATAGACAACACCTTATTTTCGACCACCATAGGTATGTGCAAACATATACAATGTGTAAGGGGCTATCATGTTCTTTTATAGCATTCATATATTTCATGTATAGGTACACACACACACACACACACACACACACACACACACACTCACACACACATCATAATCATTACACAGACCCAGCTGTGGTTAGGATGGTGGGGGTTATGCTTATTCTTAAGGACTAACATACACAAAGATAACAAACACATACAAATAACAAACATAAAATAATGCATTTTTGGCAATAGTGATTGGGATTCTGTTTCATGGAAAATACCTGCCTTGAAAATGACCTTTACTTATTTCGTTAAAAAGGTCATCCTACTTATGGATTTTTAGCCACTGATTGCGACATTGCCACGTCTTCTCTTGCCGCCATCACCGACATCGTCATGAAGTCATGTAACAAACTCACGGTTTCTTCAGTCGTCCTCGTTGCACTATTTTCGCTCTGTTTACCATTGAGTCTCGTGATTTTTCATCTTTGGCTTTGTCGTTTTCGCTTCTTGGTTCTGCACCAAAGTAACTTCTTTTTGTATTTGCATAATATTTTCTAGCTCCTATTTCAGCTTTGTGCTTAAAATCTTCGAATGTTGGCGATATAATGGACACCGTCACACATTCCTGCGCTGGCAATAAGTAACCGGAAGCATATTCCAATACCTTTTATGGGAACAGGTGATATCATTGGTTGAGTGAAGGCGACAACGCTGTAGCAGTTTCACTAACTGGATAAAGAACGCCTTCTGGATGAGTTAAAATACTTTCCTTTTTATGACGATACAAACTTCCTTTTAAGATGTTTCTTTGAAAGGTACGCACGTAAATGAAAAAATAATCTAAAATATTAACTAATGCTTCTTTAATAAGAATTGTGTTATAGGTTTACCGTGTAACTCTTTGAAATAACTTCGATATAATGACCCCCACCTGGTTAGAGTCAGTTCTTTTGCCTCGTACCTTCCATTAAATGACGAGAATACTTCTATGGTATACATAAATAATTAGCACTTAACTGTAGCCGGTGCTATTGTATACCGGCTTTCCTCAATAATTGAATATCCTAAGCTGATTCTGTTGAGTACATAAGTTGAAGTAAAAGATTTTATCAGGTAGGGGTTTTATCAGTTACATCTGAGCTTATATCATGGACAAGGTGAACAATTGATTCCTACACTATTTATTACAGGTATAAAAAGGTGCTTTTAAAAAGAAAATACCTGATTATGCAATGGTATTCAATTTAAACCTATTCTTACTATTAGGGCATGATTATGATTGGAAGATATGTAATGAAATTTTGAAATTGGATGATGCATCCTGCATTACTAGCTCCACCCATTGAATTGTTGTTAGTGCAGAAGTGCATTTCAGTCTATTTCACCGACTGATCCATGCAAATAGTGTTACAGTTGGTGCATTTAATTCAGCCAAGATGGATGCCTAGACTTATTACTGGTGAGTGACTATCATACGTTTATACATATTGTTACCGTTCAAGATTACTGCTATTACTTCTACTATTACTTCTGCTATTATTGCTACCAATAACATGCATGTTGATATTTTGTTGGGTCTCTTCTCATCTGAAGGTTAGCTTCGTACCATGGCCGTAGATATCAGAGACTTTGCGTCATTCTCATTCGGAGTGTTTCTTTTCTAGGCCTGGGTTTAGTTTTGTTTCATGTCATTGTCGCTGATTATGCATTGGAGTATATATCTATGTCAGTAAACATTAGTCTCTGGCTGGACATTTTGTTAGTCATACAAATAGTAAACGAAATGGGACCGCTCCGGTGGTCTAGTGGTTAGAGCGTCCACCTTGGATGCGGGAGGTCTCGGGTTCAACTCCCGGCTGAGTCATACCAAGGACTTATGAAAATGGAACTAACAGCTGCCTCGCTAGGCGCTCAGCATTAAGAGGCTAGTATTAGGACTGGTGGGCCTGGTTTCAGGATAATGTGACTGAGTGAGATTCTTATTAAGTCACACTAATCAGATTTTCGTTAAGTCGCACTAATCAGATTTACGTTAAGTTACACTAATCAGATTTTCATTACGTCACACTAATCAGAATTTCGTTAAGTCACACTAATCAGATTTTCGTTAAGTCACACTAAACATATTTTCGTTAAGTCACACCAATAAAGAGATTTTCACTATGTCACACTAAACATTACATTTTCACCGAGCCTGGCTAATCAGCGGATGAGAAAATAAATTAATAATAATAATATAATGATTATATATATATATATATATATATATATATATATATATATATATATATATATATATATATATATATATATATATATATAAGGTCGGAAAAGATGGAGTCCAAAAATAAAAAATATATTATTTTAATTAAACTGGAAAAGAAGACATATGGCAAGGCAAGTTTATTTCTCATGTAGTGCTAGTGTAGTATATATTTGTTAAAAACAAAACAAAAAAAAAGAAACAAACAAATAAACACAAACAGGAAACAAAGCAGCAACAATAGTAACAATGAAAACAACAAAAGAGAACAAGTGGCCCACAAATGCCTTATATCGCTCAGCTCCCTTACTGACATAAGAAAGCTAGGTTTGACTGCATTTGACTTATATCTTTAAGGGTATTATCCTCAGGCAGCTGCTAGAACGTTGACTAATATGCAAAAGCAACACTCGCAATTAAGCCTGTCAAAGTTCTCGCCAATACAAGTATGCACCGTAAATTTAAACTGTTAACAAGCTCAGCCAATCAGATGCAAGATTGCTAAATTAGCTTGCTAGAATGTTCCTCATGATTCCAACTTATCAAATATCTGGACGAATCAAGCTAACAAGCTTACTAAACAAAACTGGGAAACACAAGTTCGTAAATGATTGGAAGCCAAACCAAACAAATGGAAGTTTAGAATGCTAACAAGCGTTTATGTCGCTCAAATTGGAACTTATTGTTGACTTTGATCGTGTATGCCTACAAACCAAATATAATTTTTTCGCAATGTAACGAGCTGTTTTATGACTATACTATGTCAAAGTTCGGAAAAATTGATGACACGCAAACCATGTTCTTTCTCTTTAGATGCTTCTGTGGAAAGTACATTCATAAATTGGAGAAATAAGAACATTAACTAATATATCTTTAATAAAATTTCCTTTGGTAGGTTGATCATGTAACTCTATAAAATAACATCGATACGAATTCTGCATCTTTATATAAAAAAGGTCGAGCAGCAAAAAAAAGCTTTTTTTAAAAAATATATATCCCTAATTTAACAGCGTACAACGTCTTTTAAAAACAATTCATTTTAAAACTTAAAACAATAATATAACTTTTATAAATGTTACTTAACTCAGTAGTACAGAATTTACAAGTTTATTTTATAAAAAAAATGTATACTTAATTTTATTAGCAACAATTTAATATAATTAATATGAAATTCCTTACCTTTGTCATAGAGAAAATTGGGGTTGATTTCTTCCCTAAAAGCATGGTACTTTGTGTACACTGTTATACAAGGAATGTGTCATTAGAAGTGTGATATAAGATTTTTTATATATAGAAGTGTGATATAAGATTTTTTATATATAGAAGTGTGATATATGCTTATTTATATATAGAAGTGTGATATATGCTTATTTATATATATAGAAGTGTGATATATGCTTATTTATATATAGAAGTGTGATATATGCTTATTTATATATAGAAGTGTGATATATGCTTATTTATATATAGAAGTGTGATATATGCTTATTTATATATAGAAGTGTGATATATGCTTATTTATATATAGAAGTGTGATATATGCTTATTTATATATAGAAGTGTGATATAAGATGTTTTATATATAGAAGTGTGATATAAGATTTTTTATATATAGAAGTGTGATATATGCTTATTTAAGATATTTACTCTGACGTCAGCTACCTGGTTTTTTTTTTACCGTCCGTACATTCATTTTTAAAACAGCTGCTTTTTTAAAAATGTTTTTTTTTGTTGTTGTATTTTTTATTTATTTATTTTTATAATGTAAACTTAAGGAAAAAAATCACCGCTTTTGGTCAAAGATCAAAGTCACATCTTTTTATCTTACTATCGATTTTATTTTCTAAAATTATGGTTATTATGCTTTAACAGTCATATATCTGACCTTTTGGTTAGGACTCTGTTTATTAATACATTATTTGTCAATATTCAGATTATTTTCCATATTTATTATAATTTTGGACAGGTATGAAAGTTGGTATGTTCTTATTGATTGCATGCAATTTTTCAATCGGAAATTTATATTAATAGGAAAATGCAAAACAGATTAGCTTTTTATGACAATATAAACGTTTTTTTTTTAAAAAAAAAACAATTGTAGAATGTAAAAATTTTCTCCGAACTGTAAAATTTAATTCCTGAAAAATCACAATTGCAAACTTAATGCATTTTTATAAAATGCAAAATTTCTTCTTTGAAATATAAAACATTGTTTTGGGGGTGAATTGTAAAGGTTCTTTATATTTTTTTTTTAAATTGTGCAATGTAAATATTTTTCGTCAACTAAAATCAATGAAAACTAAGAAATTAATATATCAACTCGTTATATTTCAAAAGCTGTACGATCACCTACACATGGTTTAGATTAGTAAATTTTCATTTTCTATTTTTATGTTCAAATTTGGTTTGTTATACCTCAATTATTTTTCATGTTTATTTTGATTTTTTAATTTACTTTTTTGAATTTCATTTTCTTAACTTTCATTTTCAATTGTGCTTGATCAGTTTTGTTAATTTTATTTTCATTTTCAGTTTTCTAAATGTATTTTTTTCATATTTCACTTATTTACTTTTACTTTTTACGTCATTTGTAATTTTCATTTCCACATAAATTACTTGTAGAAATGACATTTATTATTATTTTCTAATATTTCATTTTCAGTTTTCAATTTTGAACTTTTCAATTTTAATATTAATTTTCAAATATTAGTTTTCAAATTTCTTTTATATTTAATTTTTCATTTAATTATTTCTTTGACTTTCTGTTAGAATTTTTAAATTTTGTCATTTTTATTCAATTTTCAGTTTTCATTGAAAAATTTGTTCTTTCTATTTTTTTACTTATTTAATTTTCGTTTTTAATTTCAGTTTCAAATTTATTTGTTGGAAATTTTCCATTTGTCTTTCCAAATGTTCAAATTTTTTAAGTTTGAACTTTTACTTTTAAATATTAGTATATTCTATTCTTTCTTTAATTTTTTATTCTCTCTTCATTTTTAAAAATATTTAATTATATTAAACAGTTTTTATGAGAAATATTTTTTTCATAAACTCTTAGCAATGTTCTATTTAAGAGAGAGAGAGAGAGAGAGAGAGAGAGAGAGAGAGAGAGAGAGAGAGAGAGAGAGAGAGAGAGAGAGAGAGAGAGAGAGAGAGAGGGGGGGGGCTCTTAAAGATGAAGGTGTTGCTCATAACCGTCTAGATACGGCTACATTTTTGTTTTGGGGAGCTTGGCAATGCTGCAATGAAAGAGAAGAGTCTTTCTGGTTCTCTAAACGAACAGACTGATTTTTTCACACGAGGTTGCTGTCTTTTATAAACGGTCGTTCCTCTCAAATCAGAACAAACTCTCTTTCCTTTACCACATTGTGTGAATCTTCAATTTGCTGACCTTTTGGGTACAATCCAATTGTATGATTGCCTATCATCAGCTTTTCATCAAGTCTAAAATTTGTTGACGTTAACCTTTTAATACAGGAGACTGTACTTGCTAACACAAGTGTGATCTTTACAAAAACAGCACACAGCTACTGCGCAAAAACAAATCAAATTTTAATCTCGCTATAGCTTAGTGAAAATTTACTTCAATATAATATAATTTAAAAAATACTTTCAGCACGATTTCGAGAAAATTCAATCTTAATGCTTGTACTAAAACATTGTGTCCTAATACATTTATTAAAAAGCTAGTCTTTTATATAATCAATTTTTGATTTTCAATTCTGGTTGAATTTTTTAAAATGCATTTTCATATTTTATATCCAATTTTAGCGTTTAATTTTTATTTCATTTTTTAGTTTGCATGTTTCAGTTTCAATTAAAATTTTTGATTTTTTTTACTTGTATTTTTCATGTCATTTCTTCATTCTGATTTTCATTATTTTTAATTTCCATTTTTAATTTTCCTTTGCATTATGTCAGTGGTAACTTTCATTTTCCTTATTTGTTTTAAATTTTATTCTTAATTTTCATGGTAAATTTGATGAGGCCAGGTTCCCTTGGAAAAGCGGCATTTTCATTAATTGTCTTGGGTCTAGGTATAACAATGTAACATTTAGTAAACAAAAGTCTGATCATGTTTTATTAAAACTCTGGGTATGCCTATTTTTAACATTTGTCATCAAAATTGAAAAATCCAATCTCGCTTGCTTGACATTGAAATTTTTTTTTGCAAACTTGCTATCAGAAACATAGGTAGGTTTTATTTTAGTGACATTAAATCTAACATAGCCATTAAAGCCCAATATGTGGACATCTCGCCTTTTGAGCACTACGCGTTCTCGAGCAGTGACACCACAACAGCTTGTTAACGCTGCATTGTTACTTAAAATTTAAACGCGACAGTAATGTTTGTAGATGTGGGATAGAAGAGACCCTTAGAGCCAAAGGTATTATAATGGAAAGTCAACATGATGGAAGAAATCAAAGATGGAAACGAATATGAATTAAGGGACAAGACGGCGGATTTCGAGTGGAATTCATATATGTGGATAACGAAATAGAACGGTTACAGACTTTGATTTAGATTACGCTGCTGAAAATTAATAGAAACGTAAATTGAGAAATAGAAATTGGATTCAGACAATTCTATGAGTGAATTG